TGACCTCCCCTGCTGAACTCCTGTTGGCTCTGCATGTAATGGGAACACGCTTGCTTGTACAGAACAGTCCCTAAACCCGCTGGGGCAGCTTTCCCTGCTCTGCTCAGCTCAGAGTTTGTTTATTTGTTCACTATTTATTTATTTATAACATTTCTATGCCGCCCCCATCGCAACAAAGCTTCGGGGCGGCTCACAAAGAATACATAAAAACATACATAAATAATAATAACAATTAAAAAAACATTTAAAAAACATTTAAAAAAAGAGTTAGGAACCAGGATGCTGCCCTGGTCCCAGGTTACGCATCATAATCACCCCGGATGGTCTTTAATAGTCCCCCTGTGCCTGAGTCTCAAGTGTTTCATTATAAAATGACTTGCAGAACATGAGCTGGGCCAGCAGAGGATGCCACCCCCAACAGCAGCCGTATTCTGCACGCATCACAGAATTCAACTGGAATTGCTATTTTTAGTGTGTAATTTGGTGGAATCAAGTGCTTACTCTCAAACTCAAATTAATAACCATGCTTAAATGGTCCATGGCTATCTGTGCTATTTTTTAGGACTTTGAGGGAATCAAGAACATCAGTACTGCAGGCACAGAAAATGGGCAGCATCCACAGCTAGTGCAACAGGAACCTGAGGCTAAGAAATGTGGAACGAAGTTTGAAGGCTTCCTTCCAGAATGGGCTGGTCAGTGGGGTGCTTCCCCCTTTTCCAGAGACAGCCACTTCTGCCCTTTTCTGGGGTTGATTCAGGAAGCACCAGCTGAAGCGATGGAGGCACTGGGAGTGGGGTGGCAATGCGGGACACTGCGCACCAGACCCCGATTCTTGCGTGTCGGGAGCGCGCATGCACGCGTGGGGCCTGGGGCAGCCTTGTGATGCAGGCCTGGAAGCTCTCGCGGTGCCCCAGCCAGTGGTGCCAATCGAGGGGCATGCTGGGAACGCACACCCCACGCCAGGCACCCTCAGTGCCCCCTCTGCTTCCCTGCAGGGGGCGCTGGATGCGGGAGGAGGAGAGGGGACTGTCTGAGGACAAAGGAGGGGAGGCACTGGGCAAGAGCGATCCAGTCAGGAGTCTAAATGAGAGAGGAAAGTGGGTGGGATCCGGGTGCGGCTGTCCATCCAAACCTAATGCATCCATACCTGCATCCAAATACTGTCTTGAAGGTCCATGCTTGTATCAACCAATTGCAAGAGCTGCTGGAATTTGCTATCAGAATATTCAAAACGGTCCCCAAAAGTGACGGAGCAGATGATATTTGAAACTGCGTTTTTAATCTGCAAATGGGGGTCGAACGGTTGCCCTGGGGGAAAAAAAAGAGTGGTGGCAGATGGAATATTACAGAAATGCCATATGAGAAAGTGATTCTACATTTCAACAGAATGTTGCATTTCCTGAGATGTTAACAAATCTCAGCGTTTAAAGAGGCTGTCACAAGAGGCCTTGGCAGTGAATCCGATGTCCTGCATATTTTCCAATAAACTTGCCGCCTGGGCGACAATCTAGATGGTAGAATGGTCTGTAATCCCCAGTTCCACTTGGCTGCGAGCAGCTCCCGTCTCTGCCATGGAGGGAACCACACGAGGGTCCTCCTGGATTGGGCCCCTGCTCCTCCTCCATTTTGGAAGTGCAGCCAGGAGGCTAAAACGAGGTGCCCAAATGTGGCATCCCAAGCAGGGAGACTCAGGAGTGAGCAGGTCCCCAGCTTTGGTCGTCTCCCCACTCAGGAAAGCTCAAATGTCCGGGCAAATGCGAATCCAGTCAAGTTGGGATCTGCCCGCCACAGCGGGA